ACACATGCCGACCAACCAATGAGACGATGCCGATCGACCAATGAGACGATGCCGATCGACCAATGAGACGATTCCGATCAACCAATGAGACGATTCCGATCAACCAATGAGACGATTCCCCTGAACTGAGCTGATCAGTAGAAAACATCGTGATCAAAAAGAAAACTACATTTTTGCAGTCTTGATGGATTTTTGCAAAATAATATGAATAAATTATACTTTTGTAAACAACAACCTGATGGATCATCAATATGGAATATCTAATTATTAATAAAATACTAATATTGTTAAAGTTATTATTAGTAATTGGAAACCCCTTCAGACTGGAGGACATGATGAATGAAACCACAACGATGGCCTCAAGTTCCCTGTTATTAACCAGATGTAAAAAACCAAGGCAACATTTATGATATTTACAGAGTTACATTGTATTGGTGGAGGCGTGTGGCGCAGTGCATTGTGCGTTGGTGTTGAGATCAGGGGAGCACAGGTTCAAACCCCGCTGCAGACAGCATGTCGTTGTGACCCTGAGACTCTTCACCCCAAAGTGCTCTCAGCTCGTTAGTCGCTTTGGATAAAAGCGTCTAACAAGTCATGTAATTAGTTATATGCCAGGAAAATGTTGAAATGCGTTGCATGTCAAGTGCAGTTTGCCAAAGATAGCAGAGGAGCGTCTGCATGAAGTTACATTTGATAGAATTAAACTGGCTCACAATTCTGTGCACATGATGTATGAGCATGTAGAGCAGGGGGGTCAAACTCAATTTCATCGGGGGCCACATTAGAATTATGGTTGCACTCAAAGGGCCGGTGGTAACTTCAAGATTATATAAATATTAGGGCCGGGACTTTAACGCGTTAATTAAGATTAATTAATTACACAAAAATTAACGCGTTAAAAAAATTAACGCATTTTAATCGCACTTATTTTTAGCACCGCGGAACGTTTCTCACTGGATGAGTTTCAGGCGTACCGATTATACTGGAGCACCAACTAACGTTCATGACTTCAGACAACAACAAACCACAGTGAACAACAGTGGGAAATGTTGTTTTAAAAAACGGACGGATGGAAGCGTCGATAAGAGCACGGTTGTGTGCAAATTATGCAAAAAGGAATTCGCATATCACCGCAGCACATCAAGCCTCAAGTATCACCTCAATGCAAAACATATAGCAGCTAGCGTGGAAGCTAGCGTGGAAGCTAGCCTCTTTTATCGCGTTCACACCAAAAAGAGCCGGTACTAAAATTAGTTCATGAGAACCTTTTTACCCCCACGAAAGTCCCTGCTAGAGAGCAGAGAGCTGCTAGAGAGCAGGGACTTTCGTACGGCTCTCTTGTGAGAAAAGAGCTATATTTCTGATTGGCTGGGCGGATTGCAAACCACGCCCCGTAAAACTCCCAAAAAGTTTTGTGAAGCCGCCATTTTATTATCCTCGCATTAGCATTATTAGCATTAGCCCAGCGCAGAAACGCAGAGAGACTAACTTATGGCAACACAAAATAAAACATGGGAGCGGTGGAGATGAGGAGGTGTCGGCGTTCTGGCGATTTACTCGGAAGGCTTCAGTAGAAGCTGCTGGGAGTCCCAGCAGCTTCTACTGAAGCCAGTCCCCAACTCCGGGGACTTCCGGCCGGGGACTTTGGGCGGCAGTATACGCCGTGAAGTGGTTTGCGGCCTGCCAGTAAACCCAAAGCAGAAGAAGAAGAAGTGACGTCAGCGGCTTCATTTGCCTAATCCCCCCCCAGGGACTTATTCCGGTGTGAACGTGATCTGTACTTAGTTCATGAGAACTAAAGAGTTCTCATGAACTAAGTTCTCATGAACCTTTGTGGGAAAAGTACTGCGGTGTGAATGCGCCTAATGGTATACTAAAATCCATGTGAAAAAAATTGCTTCTCACTGTTCTTAGGTCAAATATTTATATGTGATTAAAAATGCGATTAATTTCGATTAATTAATTACAAAGCCTCTAATTAATTAGATTAATTTTTTTAATCGAGTCCCGGCCCTAATAAATATACAAAGATAAATATATATAAAATAATGTATTATTTTACAATATTTCCTCTGCATTGGATTATTATCTAGGGTGATAACTTCATAATTAACTACGTCTGAAAGCAGAAGTCTAGGGCAAATAATTGCAAGTCTCTTCAGTGCGCATCTCACAAAATGAGATGCATTGTGGGACATGTAGTTTATGGGCAACGTGCTCCTGTAAAGCGGCACGTAACCTTATAATAAACTGATTATATTCTTTCAAGCTCTTGTGGGCCACATCAAATGAAGTAGCGGGCCGGATTTGGCCCCCGGGCCTTGAGTTTGACACCCCTGAGAGAGGGTGCCTCGTATGTACTATTGTGCACATAATGCACACAGTTGTCTGACATGTCTTTATTTCTGCGGCTTCCACCTAACTACGGAATGATTTCCATCCGGTCGTTTCTTTGAGCTTCAGGGTTCCACGCTGGAAGGTTCTGTGTGATCTTCACCATGAACTAAAGTAAAGGATCATGAAGCCACAGTGGAGCAGAGAATAGAAGATCAGGCAGAGTTTAGGCTGTACAAACTAGAAAGGTCGATGTGGAGACCAGAGAGAGTTCTCTGTACATCGAGTCCCGTCGCTTCACACGTGAGAGAAGAAACATATTAACAAACAAAAGTTCTACTCATTTACATTTCTAGAAGAAGAGAGGCAGTTTGCTATTGGCCAAGCTAAGTACATTTCATGCTGCACTAATATAGTGCACAGTGATGCCTGGAGGAAGGAGGCAGGAGGAAGGAGGCAGGAGGAAGGAGGCAGGCAGACGCGAGGAGTCGTGACCCAGGCCTGCGTCATATCAACGAGACGACCAATCACAACGTCCCACCAGAACAAACAGACACTAGTTGTGCTTTCAGGACAAACGTCTTTGTTGAGCTTTTCCCCGAGGACCGAGGTCCGGATGCTTCCGGCAGCAGAAGAAGGAGATGGCAGCGAAGGCAAACTCTTCCAGAAGAAGATCAAAGAGTTCATGAAGGCTCTCGTGAAATAAAAAGTATCAAAATGGGAAATGAAAAAAGAGGAAGGGGAACGTCAAGGCTTCTGATGGACTCTGGGTCCTGAGGCTCCTCTTCGGTCAGAGTCGCCTCCCGTGAGAAGGAGGCGCTCGGTGGCGCCTGACTTCAAAGGTCTCCTATTGTACTGTTTCTCATTCCTTTATCACAGGGCTCAGATATACCCAGAGCCTGTCTCTGATCATTGCAGCATTACCCATAATCCCCTCTGTTTCAGCCCTGTTTCCAAAGAGCTGATTCTCTGTCTGTTACTTCAGATGAAAACAAGGAGCCCCTCCCCACGCCCCTCTGAGAGACATTTGGTTACAAAGAACTCAATGGAGCTCTAGGAGGAGATTCAGGTGATAAGGGGGGGGGTTACATGAAGAAGAGGGGACACATGTTGATGTAGAAGAGACATGAAGAAGAGGGGACACATGTTGATGTAGAAGAGACATGAAGAAGAGGGGACACATGTTGATGTAGAAGAGACATGAAGAAGAGGGGGACACATGTTGATGTAGAAGAGACATGAAGAAGAGGGGACACATGTTGATGTAGAAGAGACATGAAGAAGAGGGGACACATGTTGATGAAGAAGAGACATGGAGAAGAGGGGACACATGTTGATGTAGAAGAGACATGAAGAAGAGGGGACACATGTTGATGTAGAAGAGACATGGAGAAGAGGGGACACATGTTGATGTAGGAGAGACATGAAGAAGAGGGGACACATGTTGATGTAGAAGAGACATGAAGAAGAGGGGACACATGTTGATGTAGAAGAGACATGAAGAAGAGGGGACACATGTTGATGTAGAAGAGACATGAAGAAGAGGGGACACATGTTGATGTAGAAGAGACATGAAGAAGAGGGGACACATGTTGATGTAGAAGAGACATGAAGAAGAGGGGACACATGTTGATGTAGAAGAGACATGAAGAAGAGAGGACACATGTTGATGTAGAAGAGACATAAAGAAGAGGGGACACATGTTGATGTAGAAGAGACATGAAGAAGAGGGGACACATGTTGATGTAGAGAGACATGAAGAAGAGGGGACACATGTTGATGAAGAAGAGACATGAAGAAGAGGGGACACATGTTGATGTAGAGAGACATGAAGAAGAGGGGACACATGTTGATGAAGAAGAGACATGAAGAAGAGGGGACACATGTTGATGTAGAGAGACATGAAGAAGAGGGGACACATGTTGATGAAGAAGAGACATGGAGAAGAGGGGACACATGTTGATGAAGAAGAGACATGAAGAAGAGGGGACACATGTTGATGTAGAGAGACATGGAGAAGAGGGGACACATGTTGATGAAGAAGAGACATGGAGAAGAGGGGACACATGTTGATGAAGAAGAGACATGAAGAAGAGGGGACAGATGTTGATGTAGAAGAGACATGGAGAAGAGGGGACACATGTTGATGTAGAAGAGACATGAAGAAGAGGGGACACATGTTGATGTAGAGGAGACATGGAGAAGAGGGGACACATGTTGATGTAGAAGAGACATGGAGAAGAGGGGACACATGTTGATGTAGAAGAGACATGAAGAAGAGGGGACACATGTTGATGTAGAAGAGACATGAAGAAGAGGGGACACATGTTGATGTAGAAGAGACATGAAGAAGAGAGGACACATGTTGATGTAGAAGAGACATGAAGAAGAGGGGACACATGTTGATGTAGAAGAGACATGAAGAAGAGGGGACACATGTTGATGTAGAGAGACATGAAGAAGAGGGGACACATGTTGATGTAGGAGAGACATGAGGAAGTGTATTTTGTATAATAGGAGACCTTTAAGACGTCCACAGGAAACAGTTTCTGCCTCAGGAAGAGAGAACCGTCTACATGTCGGCGTCTCCGTCGTACGCCAGCGTCAGAGGCTTCAGCCTGTTGTTCATCTGACGCCGCTGAGGCTTCTTTGGCTTTTTGCTGCGGAGAAACCAAAGAAGAAGAAGTTCAGAGAGTCTGATCCCTGCCGGTGGAAGCCGGGGAGAAGGTGAGTTTGAGATGGTGGAAATGAAGGAGTGGAAACATGAGAGAATAATGTGAAGGTCGACCAGCAGGTGGCGCCAGAGGCAAGGTAATACATAATGTCAACATGCAGGGAGAGAAACTGAGGCTGTGAAACGCGTGCATCCGGTATTTGTGATTGTATTTAGAGTCAAATGTATTTTATTATTATTGTGTTTTATTTACAATGAAAACATGCTGTTTGTTTTTAGTTAGTGAAACATTTTCTTGTATTTTTCTTGAGCCTAAAAAATATTTAGGGTCAATTTGATCGTATTCTTAATTATTGATGGTAACAATTGAAGGTAATATATTTTGTATTGTATTTTATTCCCAATAACATGTCTGTATTTTTGATTGTATTGTATTGACAATAAAACCTTGTTGTTTTTAAAGGTAAAAAGTATCGAACATTTTAATTTGTAAATATAGATTTTCATATAAAGAATTATGACTTTTTTCCAAGAAGTTTGACTTTTTTCCAAAAAACATGACTTTTTTTCAGAATTAATACTTTTTTCCAGATTTCAGATTTTTCTCAGAATTCAAACTTTTTTTAGAATTGACTTTTTTCCAAGAATTAGGAGTTGTTCAAGAAATCTGACTTTTTTCCCCAGATTTCAGATTTGTTTCTGAATCTGACTGTTTGGTATTTACAGGTGTGTGAGCTGTGCTGGATGGATCTAACTCTCACCTGCAGGAATGATCCTCTGAATGAGGCACGGATTCATTTAGGCACTAATGGAGGTGAGGCAAAGAGAGGTGAAGAAGTGAAGTCTAAGTGATGAGGGTCTCAAAGGGAGGAGGGGGAGGAGGTGGAGGTGGGGGAGGAGGTGGAGGTGGGGGAGGAGGGGGAGGTGGTTGTTGTAGCAGCGCCTCAAGATGTAGGTGTTGTTGTTGTTGGTCGTGCTCCTCTCTCTGGCAGGCGGGGCAGGTGTAGGGCAGGGAGAGGGGGTCCACCCAGAGCCCCGCCTCTGATGGAGGCTTTGAGCCCGACGTGCAGATAAAGCAACAACAGCTATAACTGAGGTGATAAAGGAATGAAATGAAGAGGACGAATGAATTGAAAAGCAGAGATGAAATGGAGGTTAAATCTCTTTACGGACTTTTGTCCAAGAATTTCGACTTTATTCTGAATTTTGTCTTTTTTTCAAGAATGAACTTTTATCACGAATTCTGACTTTTTCAGATTTTTATCTTTTCTTCACAAATTTACTTTTTTCCCCCAAAATGCAGTTTCTTTCAGATTTTATCAAGAAGTTTTTGACTTTTTTCCAGATTCATGATTTTTCTTAGAATGCTGTTTTTGTCCAAGAATTATAATTGTTAAAAAATAATTTTGATAATAATTTTTTGTCTTTTTTTCAAGAAATAACTTTTTCCCCAGAATTATGAGTTTTCAAGGTTTCATTTTTTCCAGAATTCAGACTTTGACTTCTGACGAGTGCAGAAATGCACTGATCAGGCATCCTGATCATTCATCTCACTTTTTATTATTGTTCATCTTGAAGTCTTTTTTCAAAACAAATGACTTCATCATAATGTTGACCTCCATTACATCACTGACTGCAGGTTGATGAAACATGCATGATGAGTAATAAAGTGATGAGGAGAAGAACTACAGACAGACGGTTATATCATAATATAAGTGCAGGTACGTTACCATGCTAAATACGTCATGGAGATGATGAAGACGAGCAAAACAAACGCTCCTGCTGCTACTCCGTACACCCAGGTCTTCATTTTCCCATCTGCAGAGAACAAACAACACACACACACACACACACACACACACACACACACACACACCACACACACACACACACACACACACACACACACACACACACACACACACACACACACACACACACACACACACACACACACACACACACACACACACACACACACACACACACACACACAAACATTACATATACTGTAGGAATAGCATGTCTGACGTGCAGTTCCCTGTTTAACCTGAAGGGGGCAGTAGAGTTACACATGAGTGAGGATGTGATATTTAGTAACTGAATCATCTTCATCATCTCTCTCACACACACACACACACACACACACACACACACACACACACAGATTTAACACCAGTTGTTATTGTGTTATTTAACACATCTATAAATGCAAGTGTTCATCTCACTGTCACATGTATGGATGAGCCAGAGAAAAAGAAAACTATGAATAAATACTGTATGTTATCTATAGCTCATCTAATTGTTTTCAAAATAATAATATTCAATTAAAACAGTTTACATTAAATACAATATTATCATAAAAGTATTCATTTCTTTTTAATTTATTTATTTGAAAAAAGAGCAACTGTCACTGAGCAACCTTTCTCAGGATAAATAAAGTCATCTTATATTATATGACTTTTTAGTTCTTGACACATTTAGTTATTTCAATTAGCGCTATATTTGATATCCCCCTTTTTTCCTTCTCCGTTGTTTCTTTCTTTCCCACCATTTGCTTTTCTCTTTCCTCTCGTGGTTTCCTGTGTTTATCCTTTTGTTGTTATTCTGGATGTTCTTCTCCTTTCCACCTCATTATTAACAAATTAAATTCCCCATTTTTCCTGTTTCTCTCATTTTCATTTTCACTTTTTTTCCCATTATTTCCTTTTTGTATTTGTCCTCCTTTCCTCCCTTCACTCTAACACCTCCCCTCCACCTCCCCCTCCCTCTAACACCCTCCCCCTCCTTCTAACATCTCCCCCTCCTTCTTTTATAGCTGAGTTAGCAATCATTTTGTGTTCTCAGCAATTACAGACATTTCCACAAATTGCATTAGTTTGAATATATTGTAATGGAGTTCAGGCTTAATGAGATTTCCTTCTGTGGGAGGCAGGTCATTTTCTCAAATTACAATAAACATTACATCAACAGTTATAGGATCATTCCTAAAGCTGTTTTTGTTTGAAGATATTGTATTTTTACCCTACAGAAGTAATACAATACATTATTTACTGTCTAAACTTGATTCTTATTTATATTTCTGATGCCTTCCTTTCTTCATATTATTATGAAGTTAACATGTGTTCAGCATGATTAAGGTGTTCCAGTGTCATAACTCACTACATATGTGTGTATGTTTGTTTTGCTACCCTTCTGAGGACCGATCATTGAAAAACAACCCATTCTGTGAGGACATTTATGTTTTGTGTGCTGTTGTGGCCTCCTGATGGAATAAACTTCAACATATTTTGGGACATTAGTGTTTTCTCCCATGTTACCTGGTCCAAAGGGCTGCAGGAACCAGGTGCGCCCCCCTCTGCCCGGGGAGCTGGCTTCAGGCAGGGTGGGGTTGAAGCCCCGGATCGTCTTCACGTCGGCCCGGTTGTCTCCGGCCGTCGGGATCTCCAGCACCGGGATTACCGTGCACTGATCCAGGACCCCATCAGAGGTCATGACCTCGGTGTAGCCGTCCTCACAGCCGCACACCCCCGCCTGGATAAGGGAGGAGGAGGATAGGGAGGTTAAACACAAAGATATAACTGACTTATAACTCGTAAAACATCTGCAGTTACTTTAAAGTTGCGATGCCCTTGTGAAAAACCGTAGTCATTCATGGACTCTTTCCTAAGATACAACGGTGAGACATGTTCGTTCACCATGTGAAGTGGCCTTGCGTCTCTTGAAAGGCGCTATACAAATTGAATCTATTATTATTATTATTAAGGTAAGACATGGTATTGCATTTTAAAAATAATATCCTAATCTGACACTTTCGTCAAAGTAAAAACATCGCAGTAACTTTAAAGTTGTGATGAAAAACTGCAGGCATTCATGTACTTTTTCCTAAAGTACATGAATGTGAAACTATATTAAGGTATTATAAAAGGCAAGACATGGTATTGCATTTTAAAATATCCTAATCTTACACATGCTTTTTCCAAGTTTACCAGCCTCTTGACATTTACTGTTTTTAGCTGGACCCGTTATGTTTTACTTTACATCTATTTAAGATTACAGAGCAATAAGGAAGACAATACATATATATAATAATAATAATAATGCGCTTTTCCTGATGCTCAAACACGCTTTGACAATCAGAACAGAAACAAAACTAAGAAAAACAAAAAACCTAAACAATAGTCCAAATCCAAGTGTGAGTAAAATGGGAGGTTTGTTGATCAGAGTCCGAAAGCTAGAGTGAATAAGTGAGTTTTGAGAGATGTTTTGAAAGATGTAAGAGTGTTTCTGATGAGGCTGGGAAGGGAGTTCACTGGAGCTAATTGATGCAGAAATGGGAGAGTCGCATACAAAAAGAGAGAGAGGGGAAAAAACAAACCAGGCTCAGGAGAAGCCGTGCTGAAAGTAGGCCACGAATGGAGACCAGGTCAAAAAACATTCAGGCTTTTTTGGGGAGCTGAATTCAAGTTTCAGAAACAAACATCTTATTGTTGTGTAGGTCACCGCTTCATTGATGCTATCTGTGTTATATGAGCGCCAACAGGGTTCCTAATTTGTTTCCTTATTCCTCATGCAATGAAAAAAAAGGAAATGCATTCTGTTTTATTTGGTCTTCGGCCAAGTGGGCAAAAAGAGTTTAAAATTAAACACAATAATTATTCTAATCTTTGCTAATCAATAGTGGAGAAGGTACTCAGAGCATGTTCTTAGGTACAAGTGCTAACGATGTTGAGACACTGAAATGTTTATACACCAAAATTAATCATGCAAAAAACCATCATATGTTAAAGGTTTTTCTAATATGTTTCCACGATGTGTTTTTGTGGCGTAGCAGTATAAAGTGGCACAGACATTAAGGACTTTGGTAAAGTACAAGTACCTCAAAGAACAGCACTTGAGTGAATGCACTTAGTGACTTGCCACCACTGAGCATGAGTGATGACTTGTGCAAAATGCAAATAAAACCTGAACAGCAAATCAAAGCAGAACAGAAGAAAACACATTCTGAATAAACACGGATGGATGAAGTGAAACCGCAGGGGGAGAGAAGATTAGGAAGGACATCTTGAGGAATGTATCGTCAATCAATCAATCAATCAATCAATGTTTATTTATATAGCCCAATATCACAAATGTTACATTTGTCTCAGTGGACTTTACAGTTTGTACAAAATATCAGTATGACAATACGACACCCTCTGTCCTTAGACCCTCACATCGTACAAGGAAAAACTTCCGGAGAAAACCCACAGTTTAAAGGGAAAAATGGGAGAAACCTCAGGGAGAGCAACAGAGGAGGGATCCCTCTCCCAGGACGGACAGACGTGCAATAGATGCCGTGTGTAAATTGAAAAGATAATACATTTGCAACATAGGTAGTCCAAATGTTTGGAAATGCATGTGTGTATAATAGGAAGATGAATCCACGAGGATATCCATCCAGGACCTATGATCCAGGACCACAGCCACGACTCAAGATCCAGGGCTCGCGATCCAGGACAGAGGAGCGCAGGATCATCCATGTCTCCGGATCCCGGCGTATATAGACACCAAAAAGAAAGACATTTGGGGAAGCTGGGTTAATCGGAACATGAGAGTACACAGGTATAGACAGAGAGAAGGAAGAAGTAAGATGTCCCCCGACAAACTAAGCCTATATCAGCAAAACTAGGGGCTGGATCTAATCAGCCCTAACTATAAGCTTTATCAAAAAGGAAGGTCGTAAGCGCACTCTTAAAAACGGATAGGGTGTCTGCCGCCCGAACACAAACTGGAAGCTGATTCCACAAATGTGGAGCTTGATAAGAAAAGGCTCTGGCTCCCATTGTACTTTTAGAGACTCTAGGAACAACCAACAACCCTGCATTCTTGGAACGCAATGCCCTAGTAGGACAGTAGGGTATAATGAGTTCTTTAAGGTAAGATGGCGCCTGCCCATTAAGGGCTTTGTAGGCGAGAAGAAGAATTTTAAATTCTATCCTGTGTTCTATAGGGAGCCAGTGTAAGGCAGCCAGAACAGGAGTAATGTGGTCCCTTTTCCTAACTCTGGTTAGTACACGAGCCGCAGCATTTTGAATCAGCTGAAGCGACTTGACTGACTTCTTGGTACACCCTGATAATAAAGAGTTACAATAATCCAGCCTTGAAGTAACAAATGCATGGACTAGTTTCTCTGCATCGTTTTGAGGCAAGATATGCCTGATTTTTGCAATGTTACGTAGATGGAAGTAGGCGGTCCTTGAAATTGATTTTATGTGGGCGTTAAAGGATAAATCCTGATCAAATATAACACCAAGATTCCTTACAGTCTCACTGGAGGCCAAATTAATGCCATCCATAGTTAATATATCCTTAGATAATTTGTTTCGTAGATTCTTCGGGCCAAGTACAATAACTTCAGTTTTGGTCGTGTTTAACATCAAAAAGTGTAAGGTCATCCACGTTTTTAAGTCCTTAAGGCAGTCTTGAATTTTATTTAGATGATTAATTTCATCAGGCTTGATTGATAAATATAGTTGAGTATCATCCGCATAACAATGAAAGTTTACAGAATGATTCCTTATAATATTGCCTAACGGAAGCATATATAATGTGAACAAAATAGGTCCGAGCACTGAGCCCTGTGGCACTCCATGGCTAACTTTGGTTTGCGTGGAAGATTCATCATTGACACGTACAAACTGAGAGCGTTCAGATAGATAGGACCTAAACCAGTCTAAAGCAGTTCCCTGTATGCCAACTAAGTGCTCTAGTCTTTGCAATAAGATATCATGGTCGATAGTATCAAATGCAGCACTGAGATCGAGCAAGACAAGAATAGAGACACGTCCCTTGTCAGAGGCTATTAGAATGTCATTTGTGACTTTAACCAGAGCTGTCTCTGTGCTATGATGTGTTCTAAAGCCAGACTGAAAAGCTTCAAATAAATCATTGTTTTTTAAGTAATCACACAACTGTTTTGCGACCGCTTTCTCAAGAATTTTTGAGAGGAACGGAAGATTAGAAATAGGTCTATAGTTGGCTAAAACCTCTGGATCGAGGTTGTGCTTTTTAAGAAGCGGTTTTATCACTGCTACTTTGAATGATTGTGGAACATAGCCTGATAATAAAGACATATTCATAATATTTAATAAATAAGTGCTAATTAATGGAAAAACTTCCTTCAACAGCTTAGTTGGAATTGGGTCTAACATGCACGTTGATGGTTTAGAAGAGAGAATCATTGAATTTAATTGTTCAAGGTTTATGGCTGAAAAGCATTCTAGTTTACTATCTAGTGTAATATTAGAACTTACGTTTCCGGGAGCTGTTGATAACACTATACTGGTCAAAGGCAAGAGGTCATTGATTTTGTTTCTAAGAGTAACAATTTTATCGTTAAAAAAGCACATAAAATCATTACTACTGAGTGCTATGGGAATAGAAGGCTCAATCGAGCTGTGGCTCTCTGTCAGCCTGGCTACAGTGCTGAAAAGAAATCTTGCATTATTCTTATTCTCATCTATTAATGAAGAGTAGTAGGCTGCTCTCGCTTTACGCAGTGCTTTCTTATATTCATTGAGAGTAATATGCCAAATTAAACGAGATTCTTCAAGTTTAGTAGAACGCCATATCCTTTCAAGTTGTCTCGACTTTTGCTTTATTTTGCGGGTTTCGGCATTATGCCATGGAGCTAATCTATGTTGTTTTATTTTCTTCTTTTTCAAAGGAGCAACAGAGTCTAATTTTATTCGCAGCGCATCTGTAGCACTATCAACAACATGATCAATTTGGGGTGGTGTACATTTTGTATAAGTTTCCTCCCTTACATGCAGACATGCTATCGAGTTAAGTATTGGTGGAATCTCTTCCTTAAATTTGGCTATAGCACTAACAGATAGGTTTCTGCTGCAGGAGCTTTTGACTAATGCTTTGTAGTCTAGTAACAGTACTTCAAAAGTTACTAAGAAATGGTCGGATAAAGCAGGATTATGCGGTTCGACTAATAGTTGCTCAATTTCAATACCATAAGTCAGAACAAGGTCGAGAGTGTGATTATAGCAGTGGGTTGGTTTATTTACACTCTGACAAAAACCAACAGAATCTAATATAGAGTTAAATGCAACAGTAAGGCTATTTTTATCATCGTCAACATGAATATTAAAGTCACCTACGATAATTACTTTATCTGTTTTAAGAACCAAAGTTGATAAAAACTCAGAGAATTCAGATAAGAATTCTGAATAAGGACCTGGTGCACGGTACACTGTAACAAATAAGATTGGCTGCAACGTTTTCCAGGTCGGATGCGTAAGACTAAAAACAAGACTTTCAAAGGAGGTATAATTTAATTTTGGTTTAGTATTGATAAGTAAACTTGAGTCAAAGATGGCTGCAACTCCACCTCCTCGGCCCGTGCCTCTGCAATATGAGTATTGATATGGCTGGGTGGAGTGGCCTCATTTATGCTGACATATTCTTCATGTCTCAACCAAGTTTCAGTGAGACAGCATATATCAATATTATAATCTGATATTAAATCATTTACCAATATTGCTTTAGATGCTAGAGATCTTATGTTTAAGAGACCACATTTAATATTCCTGTTTTGTTGCACTGTAGTAGTTGTTACATTTACTTTGATTAGGTTATTATGTCGTCACTCTCCCAAAGTCCGCTCTGTGACCCCGATTAACATCTGTCCACCTCCCTAAATGCCTTTCTACTTGTTTACTACACAAACAAACAAGCTGGGAGGGTTTACAGTTACTTCCTTCTTTTTACCGCTGGTGTTGTTTTCATCTTGTGATTCTACGTTATTCAGGTTTTAGTTAGAGATAATAATGGAGTTTGAGTACAGTATACTACCAAGAGAGAGATGAGAGAGAGAGAGAGAGAGAGAGAGAGAGAGAGAGAGAGAGAGAGAGAGAGAGAGAGAGAGAGAGAGAGAGAGAGAGAGAGAGAGAGAGAGAGAGAGAGAGAGAGAGAGAGAGAGAGAGAGACTGTACACTAGCAGAGCACCAAAACACCAATGTTCACTGAACACTGAAAGTGATCTGTTTCACTTTGAAAAGTCAGATTTCTGATGTGGTTTCAAAACAAAACTCATTCCAAACATTTCCTCAATTGGGATGAATAAAGTATCTTCTCTTTATTCATCTCTTGTGACATAAGGCAGGGAGATGCTGAACCATATCTATGTCTCTCTGGAAAACATTATAATGTTTTAGTATTTCTGCCGGCAATTCAATCCAGCTTCAAAATGTGAAAAGCAGCCCGAGCAGAGAACTGGATTTCATGTTTCCAAGCTCTGTTAGTGGAAACAAAGAAGGCTCTGTCTCAGTGAAGGAGCAGCACAGCCATCATTGGGAGCTGCTGCTCTTACTCCAATTCTATTTCTACGACTTCAATCATATTCAATGTTAACACTGCTACATTTTTACTATACTTTGTTCTAATGTTATTATAGTTTTATTAAACTAGTTTTCTCTTTGTGTTTTTAATTGTGTTTTTATTTGTATGGATGCACCTCAACACCAAGTCCAATTGCTCGTATGAGTCAACCTGGAGAAAAACCTGATTCTGATTCTGAGGACGAACCCCAACACAATACACATATAGAGGCATTGGTTCAAAGAGAGAGAGTATTTAGTTCTCTTTATATCACCAAGCTGTGACTAAAGGTCAAAGGTCTCCGAGGTAAAGCACGGTAAAAGTCATGCAGACTTTTGAAGGGAAATCCAAATGTAGAGATCAGTTCAGATGTAAGATCTTGCAGCACTTTAACACATCGTTGAGCATCTTAAAGCCACGATGATTCCTCTGTGAAGTCTCACTATGAACTGCTGTTTGTGAGACAGGGTGTGTTGCAGGAAGCCCCCCCTCCTCCACATCTCTCTCTGAATCCCTCACCCCTCACCCAGCAGGGGGTCCACACCCCCATTGGTCCCTGGAGGATAACGTGATGCCGTGCAAACAGAACGTGCAGCCGCAGACTGAGCAGGGAGGAAAGCATTCACATCTCCTCAGAGGCGAACAAAGGGAGGTTCAGCAGCGAGCGAGAAATCTGGGTTCAGTCTCTGGAGAGAGTCTGAACTTACCCACAATCCTCTGTTCCTGCAGACTCCTTCTAGCAACCACATGCTTAAACAAACTATTCATATTCAGTTCAGGGTGCAGAGTGCCTCGTGGTGCATAATGGAGCCATAACGACCTCATCCTCACTATTCGAGGTGTCTTTTTACGCTGTCGGTGCCAATATAGTATCTCAGCTCTGGTATGAAAACTGATTCTCCAAACTCAATGCACAACAGTGAAATGTTTTCTTACCGTTAGCAACCGTGTAGGAACTGGACATCGTCAAAAATAAGCAAATATTGTAGGTGTCAGTCGCCTGCGACCGTCTCATGGATGCAGTTTGATTCCATTGAGTCGCTTAAAGCAGGTTTCTTAGAGTCTCTGTTCAGCCTCGTTGTATTTCTGCCAAACATTAGCAGCTGTTATTAGAAGCTGCAGTCCAGGTGTGTTCGGAGAGGATAATGGGGAACGCTTAACAACAGGTGGCAGCATCATGTGAGTCAGATTACTCTCATCTTTTTTCTATTCTCCTTTTCTGTTTCTTTAAACCGTCCAGATGCACAGCTTTCATCCCAGCGGGGGGTCAGCAGCCTCCAGAAACACCTTCTCTCCGCCAAACAGAGACGCCGGGCTTTGAACCACGGAGGCATTTCTAACCCGGTTAAAAGACGTTGGAAAGGCTACAAAGCGTCGAGACTGTGGCTGTGATTACAAGCCAGAATGAACTTTGGTTGGTTTGTTGATTCCCTTGAAGGCTACTGTCACGATCTGTCTTTATGGTGTTGTGTCTTGTTTAAATCTGTCTGTGGTTTCCTGTCGTTAGTTTCCCTGGTGTGTCTCCGGTGAGTGTTCTGTTTTCATTATAGCCTTGAAATAAAGGAATTTTCACTTTAATCTGCATTTGGGTCCTGCTTCCTTCACACACCGTAACAGCTACAGCGCTAGGTATCAAAACCATGACATGTTCTGTTCCAATCAGCTGACTCTTTTTGCCAAGCAAGCACCAAGAGCAAAGAGCAGCATATATTGGGGGCTCCTCCAGGATGAACAGTTCAAAACGAGTACGCCGAAGAGTGAAACGTTGCTGTAGACGTCACGCTTCAATTCAATCTCGCTTCTTGAATCTCTATCGGGCTCAAAAAGAGGATCCAACTGGTTCTTTAACGGTTTGCAATTTGAAACAACTACGAATTGACACAAGTCACTTCAACATAGTTTCTCCTTTGCTAACTGGATTATAACACTCACTGTACATTTTATTTTTATTTTTATATTTCATTGAATATTCCATTCCATGCACACTTGATGTAAATAATATCCTGCTTATATGGTGTTAACAGAAAATGGCCCTTCAATAGTGTTTTGATTTGTCAGACGGTTTATAGATGTTTTATCTTCAGGGTCATCTGTACATTTTTCTCACTCTCTAATGCCGGTTTATTTCTATTTCTATTTCGAGATGCTTCTATTTTAGAATTGTTTTATTTCTAATTTGTTATTATGTGCAATGCCTTGTTTTGTTTCATGCTACAACAAAAATGTTTCCTAAATTGGGATTAATAAAGTACATCTTTATCACGTTATTTTAAAAACATGTTTTATTTTAATTTTTCATTCTATTTTGTCTTTATTTTTACCTCGTGTGAATCCTGTTTTCCCCTCTGACCCTGTTGCTGATATAAACGCCTGCATTTCCCCCCGGGGATAAATAAAGTTCCATCTTATCTCGTTGTCTTTAGGACAGACTTTAAACATAACTCATGTTTGTGGAAAAGGGGTAGAATACACGCCAGAAGCCAAACGAGACAACAAAGAGACGCCAAGAGACACCACAAGAAGTCCAAGTATATTTACAATGCAGTGCCAGCATTGTGACGGACAGGATGTGACCACAGGTGCTTGAGATATCCGTCAGAACTCACCTCTGTGCACAGGGAGCGCGGCTTGGTGCAGGGCGGGCTGCAGGAGCGGTCAGATATCGGCTCGGTTGTCATCGGACATCCACCTGCAGAGCAAAGAGACGTCACATGTTAAAGGTCTCCTATCATGCAGAGTCCACTTCCTCGTGTCTCTTCTACATCAACATGTGTCCCCTCTTCTTCATGTCTCTTCTACATCAACATGTGTCCCCTCTTCTTCATGTCTCTTCTACATCAACATGTGTCCCCTCTTCTCCATGTCTCTTCTACATCAACATGTGTCCCCTCTTCTTCATGTCTCTTCTACATCAACATGTGTCCCCTCTTCTTCATGTCTCTTCTACATCAACATGTGTCCCCTCTTCTTCATGTCTCTTCTACATCAACATGTGTCCCCTCTTCTCCATGTCTCTTCTACATCAACATGTGTCCCCTCTTCTTCATGTCTCTTCTACATCAACATGTGTCCCCTCTTCTTCATGTCTCTACATCAACATGTGTCCCCTCTTCTTCATGTCTCTTCTACATCAACATGTGTCCCCTCTTCTTCATGTGTCTTCTACATCAACATGTGTCCCCTCTTCTTCATGTCTCTTCTACATCAACATGTGTCCCCTCTTCTTCATGTCTCTTCTACATCAACATGTGTCCCCTCTTCTTCATGTCTCTTCTACATCAACATGTGTCCCCTCTGTGGAAAGAGACTCTGAAAGTTTCAGGATCTGTTTGGTGTTTCAGCCAATCAGAGACAGGCTCTGGATATATCTGAGACCTATAATATATTGATGAAGAAGAGGAGGATGATAGGGGACCTTTAAGAATTGTATTTACCTGAGGCTTTTATCCAAAGCAACCTCCAATGAGTGCAACCAACCATGATGATAGCCTTTCAGAAGAGCAAGGATCCTGCAGTGATCTGTTATGTTAAATGTTTGTTGTTCACATCTTGATATTTGTCTACGTTGATGTTACACAATGAGCTGCTGTGATGCAAGTATTAAAGTATGATCGTATCGGTACATCAGCTCCAAATACGCCAGAATATGTACAGTGTCAGACCTTAACTTGCAGTCGAGCAAAGAATGAAACCCATGAAGAGAAACAGTTGTGCTCCAGCTTTCTAACTTGTTGATCTGGAGGCGAGCTTCTCTGTTCCTGCGTCTCTTATATTCAGCTCATTACGCTGATGCTTACCATGGGTGGTGGAGCCAGTATCATTTCATAATCAGCTCGGTTTGAAAAGCACAAAAAAATCCCATTTAAACCCCAACACTGATTAAAGCACTTGTATTAATTCATGCTTTGGTTTACACATTGCATAACGATTGAGAGGCTTCCAGAAGTGAATAAAACCCATTCAAGAGGATTAATGTTCCTTTTATTTGATGATTCAATGCATTTAAACGAGTGCTCCGCAATCCTCAGCCCTTCTCACAGCACCATTACAGAAATGTGAGGAGGTTTGGAACCAAATAACTATTATCCTATATGTGTGCTTTCTGAAAGGCACACCATGGGAACTTCCCACTGATGTGCCTTTCTGCAGGATGATCATGACATGCAGATCAGCTTTAAACATCATGCTGAAAGAAGCTCAGACTGGTGAGGAAAGCTTTTAAATAAAGTTCCCAAATAGTTGATAAAGGTGCAGCGCAGGGACACCAGAACACAGGCTTTAAAGTCCTCCAATCACCCCTTAACGAGAATATACTAGTTTCTCTGTAAGCAACTTACGAATGGATTTAACTTCAAGAAATGTCCTTTGGGAGTTTCGAATTGTCATTGCTTAGAAATAATCTTTTATTTCTGGTTCTCAGGAGTAAAACCTCAACTACAAAAAGAGACTAGAGGGGATCTACACTGAACAAAAATATAAACGCAACACTTTTGTTTTTGCTGCCATTTTTCATGAGATGAACTCAAAGATCTAAAACATTTTCTATAAACACAAAATAACCATTTCTCTCAAATATTGTTCACAAATCTGAAAGAATGTGTGATAGTGAGCACTTCTCCTTTGCCGAGATAATCCATCCCACCTCACAGGTGTGGCATATCAAGATGCTGATTAGACAGCATGATTATTGCACAGGTGTGCCTTAGGCTGGCCACAATAAAAGGCCACTCTGAAACGTGCAGTTTTGCTTTATTGGGGGGGTCTGGGGGGGTCCAAAAACCAGTCAGTATCTGGTGTGAGGGGTATGATTAGGGTTAGGGTTAGGGGTCGGGTAATGTTGTGAATCGAGTGGCCCATGGTGGTGGTGGGGTTATGGTATGGGCAAGCGTATGTAATGGACGACGAACACAGGCCACTCGATTCACAACATTACCCTACCCCTACCCCTCACACCAGATACTGACTGGTTTTCGGACCCCCCCCAGACCCCCCCAGACCCCCCCAATAAAGCAAAACTGCACGTTTCAGAGTGGCCTTTTATTGTGGCCAGCCTAAGGCACACCTGTGCAATAATCATGCTGTCTAATCAGCATCTTGATGCCACACCTGTGAGGTGGGATGGATTATCTCGGCAAAGGAGAAGTGCTCACTATCACAGATTCTTTCAGATTTGTGAACAATATTTGAGAGAAATGGTTATTTTGTGTTTATAGAAAATGTTTTAGATCTTTGAGTTCATCTCATGAGAAATGGGAGCAAAAACAAAAGTGTTGCGTTTATATTTTTGTTCAGTATACATATTGCCTTTGAGTCTGAATCCAGGGTTTAGTCAGTATCGTGTCTGGTGTCATCATTAATCAGGTTAATCCGGGGTTTGTGGAGTTGCACGCTCTGTGGGGTAAACAGTGTGAGTTCTGTGGTAAAATAAGCTGGATAACATCGACAGACTGACACTGATCCAACCAGCAGACACTCACAGAAAACACATGCTGCAACAACACGGTAATCTATCAGAGCTGCTGAATATTGATCAGCTGGCGTGCTCGGGGAGAGCGCTCCGTATGAATATTCATGAGGGGAACGCCGCTGCCGCCGCTGCTTACGAGGAAACATTTACAAGAAGGAAAAAGATGCAGCGTGCCAATCAGAGCGGAGGCACACAGGAACACCATCTGTGCGCTGACACAACCGTTTCTTTTCAAAGTCAGGGCTCAACAAACCAAGGAAGAAGACACGACTCGAAGCCTGTTTGAAGATGGCGTTGCAAAATAAGGCAAATGCCCTCACAAGAGGAAATCATTCTGGTAGACACACCTCCAAGTCAAAAGCAATATCAGCTGAAATATGTTTTGGAGAACTGGGAAAACTCATTCAGAGACTGCCATTAAGAAAGAGTGTCTCCGTTAAACACACTTTTTAACAACGTTTTAATCAATATCTGGGATTGGTTCTGAGGTAAGAACAAAACTAAGAGCAGACTAGCTCTTTGTTTGGAGTCCAGTCTCATTCCCTTTTAAATGTATTTGTGTAATCCAATTGCCTGCTTTCAATTGAAGTAGGCAATGGAAATTCATTATAAGAACACGTCAAAACTATTCATAAATCTGATATATACTTTTCGAGGATCAAATGTAGGAAAACATCTGAGGAAGATATTGATAAATCAGCCCCATCGCTGTCATTGCTGTGTCTAACCCCGACATGTGAGGAACAACAGGATTGACTGCAGCGCTCTTTCGGATTAAAGCGTCATCTGCTTAAAGTTTCCAGGAACTCTCCGTCGAGCAATGCTTAGAAAGCCTCCTGGCACACGGACTCTGAAGGAGACAGATTTAAGTAACCAACATTATCACCTCAGCACACACACACTACCTCATGTGTCTGAGCTGAGAGGCGGCGGATTACATCGTTATGTCACATCCTGACTACGAATAGAATTAAATAAATTACACGAACTGCTAAAGGATCTAACGTGGAGAGATCCGACCCGGGTGTAAATGATCAGTATAACCGCATTTAATTGGTGGCTAAAACCGTCTTCTTCGTGGTTTTCTTTTGTCAAACTAATTGATTGAAGCAAGGGTACTTTAACGCCAAAACCACAGACCTTATTTCTGGTTAGCCACCAAAAACACATTCAAAAAAACCATTGACTTCCAGACCAGTGGACAGGAAGTGAGGAAACGAGTCATAGCAGGGTTTTAGGACTCAATCCAGCAGCTCTCTTATCTACTTTACACTCAATATCATTTAAAGATTTCAGGCCGAGATATTTTATCCTCACCTGTGACGTTGAGTCCGTCTGAGCGCTGGCACCAGACGAGGCGAGATGCAGCCCTCCAGGGTCCGGTCCTCCACTTGTACTCGAAACACTGACCCTCTGCAGGAAGAACACATTTCAATACAGTTAAAGACCACGAGACCATTGGTCAAGTTGGAGATGTTGATTAGGGTCTGTTGGCTGTGTTTTTGTGCAAACTGGGTGCATACTGTGTGTGTGTTAGATCTTCACTCCTACGTTTTCAGTTTTCAGTTTTTGAACGAGGAATACCGGAGTACTGACCCCTTCTGGTATGGGAAGCTCTGTCCTGTCACGCTGGTGCAATAACTCTGGATTTTACAGCCAACAGTCACATAAGCTATTTTGGTCAGGTTTCAGATGTTGATTAGTGTCTATGTTGGCTATATTTTGTGGGCATTATTTCTCAACTTCCAACATCTTACACCGCAGATTCAACGTGTGGAGTAACGTGATTGTTGGCTGCATCCTATAATCTACACGGTTTGTTCGAATGTGGCTTTTGGATAAGACGTAAGGACATGAGGCGACACAACAGTTAGCCCCATCAATACTAGTTCTTAGCTTAGGGTTATGGTTGCTGGTTAGGGTTAGGGTTGTTGGTTTGTTGTTGATTTGTTGTTAGGGTTGTTGGTTTGTTGTTGGTTTGGTGTTAGATTTAGGGTACTTGGTTTGGTTAGGGTTAGGGTTGTTGGTTTGTTGTTGATTTGTTGTTAGGGTTGTTGGTTTGGTGTTGGATTTAGGGTACTTGGTTTGGTATGAGGGTTAGGGTTGTTGGTTTGTTGTTAGGGTTGTTGATTTGTTGTTGGTTTGGTGTTGGATTTAGGGTACTTGGTTTGGTTAGGGTTAGGGTTGTTGGTTTAGGGTTAAACCAACCCGCTCCCGCTCCACTGCGTCAGGCTTTGTGTCCTTGAAGACACTTCACCCGGATTTGCTCCTGTGGGTATTGTCCACAGTAGATGACCATTACATGTATGATCTGTATGTGTAATGTGTATTTGTAAAGCGCTTTGAGAGTCTTTGATAAAGCGCTATAATAAATAGAAGGATTATTATTATTATTATTATTATTATTTAGTTTATGGTTGGTTTGGGATGAGGGTTCTTGGTTGGGTTAGGGTCAGGGTTGCTGGTTAGGGTTGCTGGTTAGCATTAGGGTTGTTGGTTTGGGGTTAGGGTTAGGGTTGTTGGTTTGTTGTTGGTTTGGTGTTAGGGTTGTTGGTTTGTTGTTGGTTTGGGGTTAGGGTTGTTGGTTTGTTGTTGGTTTGGTGTTAGGGTTGTTGGTTTGTTGTTGGTTTGGGGTTAGGGTTGTTGGTTTGTTGTTGGTTTGGGGTTAGGGTTGTTGGTTTGTTGTTGGTTTGGTGTTAGGGTTGTTGGTTTGTTGTTGGTTTGGGGTTAGGGTTGTTGGTTTGTTGTTGGTTTGGGGTTAGGGTTGTTGGTTTGTTGTTGGTTTGGGGTTAGGGTTGTTGGTTTGTTGTTGGTTTGGGGTTAGGGTTGTTGGTTTGTTGTGTCAGGAGCTTCTTTCTGTAGATCTAAAGCTTCCCTTCTGCCTCTGCCGGACTCACCTGTGCACGGCCGAGCCTCCAGCTCCTGCTCCGGGCACTGAAGCAGGTTCTCTGGATCCTGAGCCACCACGGCTCGGGACCGGACCTGCACCGAGCCGAAACCCAGGTCATCCCCCCCCACACAGCTCAGCTGACACGGGCTCCACCGGTTCCAGTCCGTCAGGTAGCATTCACCTGCAGAACAGAGGTCAGTACTGAAAACACACCATGACTGTGTTGCTGTTAAGAAATATAACATTGTTTAAGCTAAAATCACAAGGGATATGAGTGTGTAACAACAACAGCAGATCCTCAGGCAACGCACAGAAGTCAAAACTAACATGTAAATCATCACTTTCTAAACTGTAATTTTGACAAGAACATCCACAGAGGAAGATGTGGTTGAAAGCATGGCAAATAATCTTGTAGGTAATCCTTCAAACGTAATATTATTTTGTTGGTCAGATTGCCACAGAATTTCCTGTAGATGATATTAAAAACAAAAAAGGAAGAAATATGGTTTATGGATTCCAAAGAGGGAAATGAGTGGGTAACAACAACAGCAGCTGATCAGGCATTGCACAGAAGTAAAAACTAAACAGTAAACATGTAGGTTCATTCTTCACTTTCTAAACAGTAATTTTGAAAAGAACATCTGGTTGAAAGCATGGAAAACAATCTTGTAGGTAAACCTTAAAACTTTATTGTTTTAGTCAGATGTCTACTCTTGTTTCAGCCACAGAACTTCCTGCAGAGGATTGATATTAAAAACAGAAAGGAATAACACATGTTGACCCTAGAATGTATGTTATGAACAGAAATGATAAGTAACATTGACAGTACTGTATATAAGCAGCGATTAAAAATTAATCCAAGTAGAGGAGATTGGACTGATGCATTCACATAACGCTAAATGCATCATGAGGACAGCTTGAGTTTGCTTTCATAACTAATCTAACAGGATGGCCTAATAACATATACAGGATGGGCTTATATAACAGTGGTATTAGAGAAAAGCTTCTGATTGTCAGGCTTTACAACGATACCATTTCACAGCATTTCAACTGGAGAGCCTTCAATCAGCACATCAGCCAATCAGGGTCAAGGACAGTTAGATTGATGAGGACTCGTAGATTGGAAAACTGAGTAATGTTAATCCGATTGTCAAAGACATGATGTCCACTCAGGTAAATCCATCCACCTCCTGGATAAAGGTCAATGAAACCCAAATCAAAACCCCTTCATCAGAGATGTTCGTACCAAAGCCCTGATTCATTTCTTACGATCACGTTCTCCTGAGACCAAAGAGACAAATCCCTGTGATCTAAAGTCAGGGCTGAAGAGAGCAGTTAGAATAGAGAGTGTCAAAAAACCCACACATTTTTCGCACTTCGATTCAAATAGTTTTATTTTTCCGAACGGACGTCGGCGGATCTGAAGAGTCCTGTTTGACCTTGTGGTCCCCACTAAGCCACTTAACGTGATTATGTGCTGATTACTCCCACACACACTCCAAGCTGGAGTACTACACACACACACTCAGACACACACACACACACACACACACACACACACACACACACACACACACACACACACACACACACACACTGTTCTTTTGCCAGCCAGTGAAAGCATTCTACTGAGGCATAATAAACCCTGACAGCTACACAGACACACAGACACGCACACACTCACTCACACACACTGTCCGCCCACCTGTTGAGTGAAACACTCTGCAGCTCTAGAAGCTCTTAATCAAACACACTCGACGGAAAACGCAGCGACGGCCGAGGCTTTGTTGTTATTGTTCAATCTGGAATAATCTCCATTCGAGGTGCTAGAGGTCGACAGAGTACTGGTTTATTTCCATGTCCTCCAACCAGTTTAATGTCTAACCAGCAGACAGCATCAACTGGTGAAGCAGATCTGTCTTTAGGACACAGAGATTATTACTTTGGTTTAAAATCAATCCGAGTTTCTATCAGATCAGGTAAGATGAGATCATTTTGACTACAACCGTCCCACCAGGAGAAACGAGCTGCAGCTTCAGAAAGGATGCCGATATAAAAACACAAATGTTCCACATGAAGAAACATCTCCAGCAACTTGACAACACATGCAGCGTTTAGAGAACATTCAGCAGCTTGAGGAGACATGCTAAAAGCTGCAGATGTTTGCAGTGTTTCCTGCCGGCATCCTTCAGCCCACTCCCACAGCCCAGAGCTCCCACAGCCCAGAGCTCTCACAGCTCAGAGCTCCCACAGCCCAGAGCTCTCACAGCCCAGAGCTCTCACAGCCCAGAGCTCTCACAGCCCAGAGCTCCCACAGCCCAGAGCTCTCACAGCCCAGAGCTCCCACAGCCCAGAGCTCTCACAGCCCAGAGCTCCCACAGCCCAGAGCTCTCACAGCCCAGAGCTCTCACAGCCCAGAGCTCTCACAGCCCAGAGCTCTCACAGCCCAGAGCTCTCACAGCCCAGAGCTCCCACAGCCCAGAGCTCCCACAGCCCAGAGCTCTCACAGCCCAGAGCTCTCACAGCCCAGAGCTCTCACAGCTCTCACAGCCCAGAGCTCCCACAGCCCAGAGCTCCCACAGCCCAGAGCCCTCACAGCCCAGAGCTCTCACAGCCCAGAGCTCTCACAGCTCTCACAGCCCAGAGCTCTCACAGCCCAGAGCTCCCACAGCCCAGAGCTCTCACAGCCCAGAGCTCTCACAGCCCAGAGCTCCCACAGCCCAGAGCTCTCACAGCCCAGAGCTCCCACAGCCCAGAGCTCTCACAGCCCAGAGCTCTCACAGCCCAGAGCTCCCACAGCCCAGAGCTCCCAGAGCCCAGAGCTCCCACAGCCCAGAGCTCTCACAGCCCAGAGCTCTCACAGCCCAGAGCTCCCACAGCCCAGAGCTCCCACAGCCCACAGCTCTCACAGCCCAGAGCTCTCACAGCCCAGAGCTCTCACAGCCCAGAGCTCTCACAGCCCAGAGCTCTCACAGCCCAGAGCTCTCACAGCCCAGAGCTCCCACAGCCCAGAGCTCTCACAGCCCAGAGCTCCCAGAGCCCAGAGCTCCCACAGCCCAGAGCTCTCACAGCCCAGAGCTCCCAGAGCCCAGAGCTCCCACAGCCCAGAGCTCTCACAGCTCTCACAGCCCTCACAGCCCAGAGCTCTCACAGCCCAGAGCTCCCAGAGCCCAGAGCTCCCACAGCCCAGAGCTCTCACAGCCCAGAGCTCCCACAGCCCAGAGCTCTCACAGCCCAGAGCTCCCAGAGCCCAGAGCTCCCACAGCCCAGAGCTCCCACAGCCCAGAGCTCCCACAGCCCAGAGCTCTCACAGCCCAGAGCTCTCACAGCCCAGAGCTCTCACAGCCCAGAGCTCCCACCGCCCAGAGCTCCCACAGCCCAGAGCTCTCACAGCTCAGAGCTCCCAGAGCCCAGAGCTCCCACAGCCCAGAGCTCCCACAGCCCAGAGCTCCCAGAGCCCAGAGCTCCCACAGCCCAGAGCTCTCACAGCTCTCACAGCTCTCACAGCCCAGAGCTCTCACAGCCCAGAGCTCCCAGAGCCCAGAGCTCCCACAGCCCAGAGCTCCCACAGCCCAGAGCTCTCACAGCCCAGAGCTCCCACAGCCCAGAGCTCCACAGCCCAGAGCTCTCACAGCCCAGAGCTCTCACAGCCCAGAGCTCCCACAGCCCAGAGCTCCCACAGCCCAGAGCTCCCACAGCCCAGAGCTCCCACAGCCCACAGCTCTCACAGCCCAGAGCTCCCACAGCCCAGAGCTCCACAGCCCAGAGCTCCCACAGCCCAGAGCTCTCACAGCCCAGAGCTCTCACAGCCCAGAGCTCTCACAGCCCAGAGCTCTCACAGCCCAGAGCTCTCACAGCCCAGAGCTCCCACAGCCCAGAGCTCCCACAGCCCAGAGCTCCCACAGCCCAGAGCTCCCACAGCCCAGAGCTCTCACAGCCCAGAGCTCCCACAGCCCAGAGCTCTCACAGCCCAGAGCTCTCACAGCCCAGAGCTCCCACAGCCCAGAGCTCCACAGCCCAGAGCTCCCACAGCCCAGAGCTCCACAGCCCAGAGCTCCCACAGCCCAGAGCTCTCACAGCCCAGAGCTCCCACAGCCCAGAGCTCTCACAGCCCAGAGCTCCACAGCCCAGAGCTCTCACAGCCCAGAGCTCTCACAGCCCAGAGCTCTCACAGCCCAGAGCTCTCACAGCCCAGAGCTCCCACAGCCCAGAGCTCTCACAGCCCAGAGCTCCCACAGCTCTCACAGCCCAGAGCTCTCACAGCCCAGAGCTCCCACAGCCCAGAGCTCTCACAGCCCAGAGCTCTCACAGCCCAGAGCTCTCACAGCCCAGAGCTCTCACAGCCCAGAGCTCTCACAGCCCAGAGCTCTCACAGCCCAGAGCTCCCACAGCCCAGAGCTCTCACAGCCCAGAGCTCCCACAGCCCAGAGCTCCCACAGCCCAGAGCTCCCACAGCCCAGAGCTCTCACAGCCCAGAGCTCCCACAGCCCAGAGCTCTCACAGCCCAGAGCTCCCACAGCCCAGAGCTCCCACAGCCCAGAGCTCTCACAGCCCAGAGCTCTCACAGCCCAGAGCTCTCACAGCCCAGAGCTCCCACAGCCCAGAGCTCCCACAGCCCAGAGCTCTCACAGCCCAGAGCTCCCACAGCCCAGAGCTCTCACAGCCCAGAGCTCCCACAGCCCAGAGCTCTCACAGCCCAGAGCTCTCACAGCCCAGAGCTCCACAGCCCAGAGCTCCCACAGCCCAGAGCTCCCACAGCCCAGAGCTCCCACAGCCCAGAGCTCCACAGCCCAGAGCTCCACAGCCCAGAGCTCTCACAGCCCAGAGCTCTCACAGCTCAGAGCTCCCAGAGCCCAGAGCTCCCACAGCCCAGAGCTCTCACAGCCCAGAGCTCCCACAGCCCAGAGCTCTCACAGCCCAGAGCTCTCACAGCCCAGAGCTCCCACAGCCCAGAGCTCTCACAGCCCAGAGCTCTCACAGCCCAGAGCTCTCACAGCCCAGAGCTCTCACAGCCCAGAGCTCTCACAGCCCAGAGCTCTCACAGCCCAGAGCTCTCACAGCCCAGAGCTCTCACAGCCCAGAGCTCTCACAGCCCAGAGCTCTCACAGCCCAGAGCTCCCACAGCCCAGAGCTCCCACAGCCCAGAGCTCCCAGAGCCCAGAGCTCTCACAGCCCAGAGCT